TAGCCTTTAGCAGTCCGCCATGCCTATAGGACCTACTAACCATTTGCCAATGGACCAAGTCTGACATTAAACCAGAGAGACCGAGCTCCACCAGACACCTGACTCGGGGGAACCTGCACCGCTCCGGGCACTCAACGTAGCCCTCGCGTATGAATGGAAACCCCATCATCTTGTACACATCCGTACTACTATAAATAGGCCTACTGGTCCTAGACCAACATCCTCTCCCACTAAGCTACAAAACCGTAAACACATCGCTCTTCAGAATTACTCTTTACAAACGTACTTTTGGGGTCACAATGCGCTATCCATTTGGAGAGTAGTGGTGCTAGAGAAGGCGACACATGGTAGAAGCGGGCGGTGACGTTGCACCTCCCCCACGACTCTTTAACTGCTCTAGTCCACATACGATTAATTACAAACGTCTCACTTGCAAATAACATCCAACAGTCAGATGTCGTGGTCAAAAATAACTGGAGAGCCATAAACTCAACGCCGCTTTACAACATTCTTGCAAAATTTACTGTTCACTTTATCGTCGAATTACTACAGTGCTCAGCAATCAGAAGCACGGCCGCGTCTAGTCTAATGTGCCTTGTTCACGTGCATGAGTGACTGTTAAAGCGACAGAGAAGTAGAGCTCTACAATCATGCCTACCAACAGCTGCTCTGTGACTTGATATCCAGGCGATGACGATGCAGTGTTTTAAGCAGACATAAACAAACTCAAAGAAATTTGTTTTGAGCAGACAAACCCAAAAACGGTGTTTTAAGCATAAACCCCAAACAGGGTTTTAAGTAGAAATAAACCCAAACACCCTGCACTGATTATAACTAAACCCTAAACAGTGTGCTTTAAGTAGACTTCAACAACAAACACGAAGTCTAAAGAGCGCACAAACACGATGTTTAAAGTAAAAGTTAAAAAGAAACACGAGGTTGTAATTGGCGATAAACCAAAAGAATTGTATTTCAAGTGGCAAATCCCTAAAACTGTTTTATAAATGACGAGAAACAACAAAACGCTATTTTAAATGAAGATAAAATAAGATTGACTGATCTGCAGCAGCACGGCGAGTAACGACTAACGGGCCAATCTGCAAAGTCTATGACATCTCGCTGACGACGTCGCCGCCGACCAGGTGGGCCATATGCCGTTCCTCTCCTGCCACCTGTTGCTACAGCTGAGTCGCCACCACCACCACCACCACCACACCGCCTCCTGCTGCTGCAGTACTACTTCCCATCCCCAACTGCTGCTGTTCTGTTAACCCTATCCTCCTCCTCCTGCTGCTGCTGTTCTGCTAACCCTATCCTCCTCCCCCTGCTGTTCTGCTACCCCTATCCTCCCCCTGCTGCTGTTCTCCTGCTGTATCATCTACCTTTGCCCTCTCTACCCTTCACAATACCACCACTACCACCATTATAACCACAACGACGACTGCCACCATAACTAGTTTTATCACCTCCCAATTCGGACGTATCCAGTGTTGGATGAAGACCTCGACAAATAAATTATTCTTTATCTGTTAAATCTATACGTCCACTATGCACTTACTTACAAAAAATACATCGTAAACCAGAGAAACCCAACCCGATGATTTAAGAATGGTATGGGTAAGTTTGGATGGGTTTGGTTGGTAAGTTTGGATGGGTTTGGTTGGTAAGTTTGGATGGGTTTGGTTGGTAAGTTTGGATGATTGGTTCAAGTTTGGATGGGATTGGTCTGTAAGTTTGATGGGATTGGTTCGTAAGTTTGGATGGGCTTTAGATGCAGGAAGCTTGGATGGATTTGGTTGAAGTCTGGATGGATTTGGTTGGTAAGTTTGGATGGGATTGGTTCGTAAGTTTGATGGGTTTAGATGGTAAGTTTGGATGATTTAGATGGTAAGTCTGGATGGATTTGCTGGGAAGTCTGGATGGATTTGGCTGGTAAGTTTGGATGGACGGTCTGTAAGTCTGGATGGATTTGGTTGGTAAGTCTGGATGGATTTGGTTGGTAAGTCGGATGATTTGGTTGGAAGTCTGGATGGATTTGCTGGTAAGTTTGGATGGGTTTGGTTGGTAAGTTTGGATGGGTTTGGTTGGTAAATCTGGATGGATTTGGTTGGTAAATCTGGATGGATTTGGTTGGTAAGTCTGGATGGATTTGGTTGGTAAGTCTGGATGGATTTGGTTGGTAAGTCTGGATGGATTTGGTTGGTAAGTCTGGATGGATTTGGTTGGTAAGTCTGGATGGATTTGGTTGGTAAGTCTGGATGGATTTGGTTGGTAAGTCTGGATGGATTTGGTTGGTAAGTCTGGATGGATTTGGTTGGTAAGTTTTGTTTAGTTGGTATGTTTGGATAGATTTGGTTAGATTGGTTTTATCTGTATTAAAGTCGACTAATTAAGGTCCTTCATTAGGACACTTTACCCATTATAATTATATTCCTCAACTTCCCGCCACCTTCGGAGGTGTTTTACAAGTGTAATATAGGAAAAGTTCACCAGAATAATAGTCGAGCTGTGTACGTAAACCATTATGCCTACACTGCAGCAGCAACCACCACGACACGTTATATTATATCTCGTCTCTCTTACAGGAACCTCATAACTGACACACCTGGGTTAGTTCCTTGTGGTTATCAGCATATACCTGGATCACGCGCACCCACAGTGATTTACTTGTGCATATATATATATATATATATATATATATATATATATATATATATATATATATATATATATATATATATATATATATATATATATATATATATATATATATATATATATATATATACATATATATATATACATACACATATATATATATATATATATATATACATATATATATATATACATATATATATATACATATACATATATATATATATATAGAGAGAGAGAGAGAGAGAGAGAGAGAGAGAGAGACTGGCCAGACCCCCAAACTCTACTTTTTCCAACACAATACCTATGTTCTAGTAAAAATAACATCTTAATTTTATGATGGTACATGCAAACAATTAATACTTAAGAGAAATAGAAAAATACAGTCGCCAAGTTAATGTCCATTCAAATAATGGACTCACTCCCTCCCCCTCTTCTCACACTACACTCCCTGGCTCTTCCCTCTCTGAGAAATTTTGGGGGGAAAACCATTAAATTTTAAAAATAATACCTCAAACTAAAGTTAGGATAATATAATTGACATTGCTGGATTCCTTGTAAGACCAGGAATATTTTGAATACAAATGTCACATATTTTGCACAAAAAATAACATATTTACTCAGAGTAAACATTATATCTAAAATTTGTATGTCTAATGCAAAATCTATGATGTTTATATTCAAAATGATCATCAAATTGTAAGAATTCCAGCAATGTAAATTATATTCTGGCCGGATAATTTGTATGAATTTTAGGAGCTAAACAGGCAGGCAGGCAGGTGGCGGGTGGGGCGAATCTAAAAATAGCGTCTGGAGCCGGACACTATACGCATATACCAAAAAACCTGCCTTAAGTGAAAGTTCGGCTCTGGCGAGGCACTGCGTATACGTGAAATCGCACTAAGCGAAACCGCGTTAAGCAGGGTATTACTGTATATACTGAATACATATATATATATATATATATATATATATATATATATATATATATATATATATATATATATATATATATATATATACTATATATATATATATACAGTATAT